TCACTATTATTATCACCGATTTTAGATAGTATCTATTGACAGACTGCTCTGAAAGATAATGCATTTCACTCACATAAACCTTGTTATATTGCTATCTGTATCTCTTTAAATAATATATATGTATGTATGTATTTGTATCTTTGTTTCAATAATTGACTAATTCTGGACTTTCACTAAATGAGATGAAGAAATTATTCCTATTCTTTCCTCTCTCCTTCCTTCCACCCCATTTTTTAAAAACTCCAATTCTTTATCCCATTCATGTAACAATACTTGCTATTTTAGTTGTCTTTTATACTTTGTCTATGTGTGATTCTGAAAATGTCCAGAGGTATTTCTCTATTATAATTACATACATGCCATACATTAAAAGACTAGTGTGATTGAATGTGTCAAGGAGGAAATGTCACTAAACTTCTGTTGCTTCGAGGAGAAACTTTCAAACATCAAGTCAAATGGATGCTCTTTTCTTATACTTTACCAATTGCTCAAAATAATTTATGTTTAGGTTGCTTTACATTTAGTCATGGCAATTTTTGCATTTCCTGAAATATCTTGTTGCCATATTGCACAGATTTGAGTCATGTCGTTATACTGTGTACTTGCTGCTGAATGTTTTCCTGGTTCATGCAGGATCTTTGGTAAAGTGTCTAAGGTCCAAGCTTTCACATGGAAGCCCAGATTCACATCTTCTTTCTCCAAAGGCATCTTTACTTTTCTAGGACCTTCCACACACAATATTTTATGCATGCCTGGCAACAATTCTACCAAACAGGTGATATTAGCTATATTTGTGGATGAGAAAGTGAGACCAGACCTGTAAAACTATCTGTTGACCTTTCTTGTGGTCCACACCTTAGTCTCCTGATTCCATTATCCTACACTGCTTCCCTTAAACCATGTTCCTGACCTCAATACCACATCTACAATCCCCTCAGGTTGGAATTTGCTAGCTCAGAGTCCTTGAATCTATAACCAAATCCATGAATATCAAAATTCGATTATTAAAACCTTTTCCGTGTAGCAAATTAGAAATTTCTTTGCTGTAGCGGGATGGGGACTGGCATTTTTGATAAAATCTGAAGTAATAAAAACTACTCATCACAATACCTCCTTATACTTTCTTTTATACGTTTTTATATCTACAAACATTGGTGATTGCCTGCACACCCCTGTGAAGTAGACCTGATTGATACTGTTCTGATTTTGGTGGTGAGAAAACAGACACACAGAGAGATTAATGACTTGCCCTGAAATCAGAGTTAGTTGTTTGCAGACCTGGAAAATAGCAGGCAAGTTTTCTGGCTTCCATGGGACCCCTGTTGTCCTTCCGTCCTACCTAAGGTCTAATTCTACCCTACCAGCAAGAGGCTCTAAACTTGTGATGAAGCCACAAGTGAGCCTGAGCATCTACGTGGGTAGAAAGACAAATGGCACACACTTTCATGGAAGGGCTTGTGGAAGCTGCTCTTGAGTCTGAGCTTCCTCCAGCTTCTAATCAGGAATTGCTAGTGGAAGAGAGACATTGACATATTACAAAAACCATGGCCTCCTGGGGCTGTTCCCTGACCCTCTTCCAGCAGCAGGGTCTGAGGATGAGTTAGCTTCTTTGGAAGGCCCTCTTGGTATGGTTCAAGGTCTGTGGTTCCCATCTCTATGACAGGTACTAACTAGCGGAGCAACCTTCACAAGTTTACTTCCCCTCCTTGGGCTTCACCTTCTGTTCTGAGAAAGGTGGAGCTAGGTCTTTTGTCTCTCACAATCCATAATTTGTATGTCTAGGTATATAGGTTAAATGAGGCTCTTGAAAGCATTTT